ATTTTTGATTTTGGCTAAGAACGTTCAAAATATTTATTGTCGGTAAAGTAGAAATCTCAGACAAAACCACCGTCTGCTTGGGACCGTTGCGTATGTAGAAGTTTTTTACATGAATGAGTGAAGGGCCTCGTGGGTAAGTGGTTATGACGCTCGAGTCTCAATGTGGTTCTGGCCAGACATATGGAGATTCGGGGGTTCAATTCCCGGGGCCCGGTGGCGTTCGTCGTTGGATCATCGGAAAAACATCGTTGGATCTTCGCCAAAAAAAGTAAGTGACTCGGGCCGTGAGAGATTTAATTAGTATACAAAACTTAAAACTTAAAAAAAAAAAAGAAAAAAAAGACAAAAAAGGCCAAAAAAAATAAAAAAAAAAAAAGGAAAAAAAGACAAAAAAAAAATACAAAAAAAAAAAGATGAAAAAGACATTAAAAAAAATTGAACAATAGGTACTCACGGCTGGAGAAAAACTCCTTTTGCTCTGAAATTGACAATTTTTAAAATTCGATAATATTCATTATTCATATTTTACTTTTGGAACTGTTGAAGGTTTTTTTTGAATTTTACTTTACACAACACAAGATTATACTTTTACCATCATTTTGTCAACTTTAGTTAGGATACATCAAGCTCTCAAAATTATTTGGATCATATAGAAGCTTGAATATTGAAAAAACACGAAATTGAAAAATGTATTACAATAATAATAAGTAAAAATTTGAATAATAAATGTCGTGAATTCATGGTCTGAGATAATGAGCCTTAGGAGTTTTTGTATAATTTATCTTGAAAAGTAAAAAGATTTGTATCTTCATTGTTACGGCTAGCCGAAGTTAAAAAAAAAATTTGTATAATAACCACATTCTTTTTTTATCAAAATTAATGAACTTTTGGGCAATTCTCCATTCTGAAAATTTGGACAATTTTCAATAAAAAAGTTGCTGGGTACTTTTACTTTTGAATCATTCTACCCTGATCCAGGAATTATTTGAATATTTGTGATTTTTCATGAATTTCAAAAAAACTCTAAAATGGCCAACTTTGGGCCTCTGAAAAAGTGTCATAGAAGACTCCAATTTTTTTAAAAACTTTTTTGGACAAATCTGACATCAAATAAAACAAGTTTTTCACATTTGCAAAAAAAAAAAAATTTTTTGGCCATTCGATTTCACAGAGTATCGGCCATATATATAATATAGAAAATGAAAACAAAAAACTAGACGCATATAACGCGCTCCGCCCGTGTCAATTTTTTTTGTGTTTTTAGTTGTGGTTACGTAAGTACTAACTTTCTGTTGACAGTTACCAGAGCAGGCGCTCGTATCGAGTCGGTTCGCGTCGGGCGTTGTCGTCAGCGTCAGCCTATCAGAGGTCGTTTGACGCCACTTCACTTTTCGGCCGTTCCCTTTTTTATAAGTAGATTTATATAAATAACCTCAAATTTTTTTCAGATTCTTCAGGTTACCTAATGAAAAAAATTGTCTCTCATTTTTTCGATCGAAATACGTTACCTTGAATTTTTTCAGATTTTTTCATAGAGGATGCTAGCGTCTATAGCCGCAAAACGCTATTTTAAACAAAGAAGGGTCATAGAAACCGAAACTTCCAGTAAAAAAAAAACGTGCATTACTGTAAAATTTAAAAAAAGTTTGATCGTTCCAGTTTTTCGATTAAAGCCGCCTAGCCCCCTTCAATCTAGAGCATATGAAATAGATTAATACGAAATTATGAAGACACTTCTGAAGACATTAATAAGGTATGATAAAACTGGCTTTTGTTCTATTATTACAATTTAGGGAGTATGGCTGAAATCAAACGTCTGTATGCTTGCCACCTGTGAGTCGCACACTGCGATGGATATCTCCCGGTTTGTCAAAGTTGTCGCGAATCTGCAGCCCTAGCAGAGAGAGAGAGAGAGAGAGAGAGAGAGAGAGTCCACTGTACTTATAATACCATGCGTATACGCAATTTATATCGTGCCGATGGTATATAATTAATTCGTTGAACATGTAGGCAGCGCACTTCGTGGCAATCGTTATACGGGCGCGCATTATATTATTATTATCATTATTGTTATTATATGCGAACGGCAAAGCATCGCTAATTTTCCACCGTTAAAGTTTTAAGCTATAATAGCTCTCTGTCTCTCGCTATAAAGCACCAATGTCTATGTGCTGTACAAGTACACCCGTGGGGGCGTGGAGAAGCGGGAGGTAAAGGAAAGCTCCAGCATAATTTCATGAATTTATATATAGGTATATATACGAATTTTCATTCCCTCCACCCAAGTTACATCTATATAACTATGTATATTCGTAGGCCCATCTCGCAAGCCAATCGCCGCTCGAGCGAAAAAAAAATAACAATCATAAAAGCGCCCGCGTCGTCGATTGTACTTTGTATACATACAGTCGAGCGTCTCTAAATTGAAAAGGAAAACCTTCGGTAACGAGATACAGCGTGATGTATATAGTATATACGTACGCTCGCGTATAATAACGTTAATTATAATTTGTTATGCGTAACGTTACGCAGAGAAGAAAAAGGTGTCCGAGTTTTTAATTAGAGGACTCGATCGGGGATATGCGCCGAGCTCGCCGTCGTCTTCGTACTGCTGCTGCCCATAGGCGCCGACGACGTCTCGAATCGGCCAAGGGATAGTTAATATGAAATTCCAGTCTCGCAGCGGCAGCAGCAGCAGCATTTCCCTCATCGACACTCGACTCTTATATACGCGAGCTTTTATAGGTATATATAAGTGTACGCCGGCCGATTGAATTAAAATTCTTCGGGCCCCGATTCTTCGCGGGGGCTCCTACATCTCTTGCTGCTTCTTTCTTTTTTCCTCGCTCGCCGTTACGTATAACTCGTTTGACATAGCTAACGATCTTGTACGAGAGAGGGTGAGAGAGACTTGACACCACGGACTGGGTGGAAAAGGTGCGCCTCGAGGCTCGCGATCGCTTAAAGTAACTTGGCTATAATGAAATTCACTTTCGTCGACACCGCGCGAATTACGTGATCTGTATTAGTCAAGTATAGGATATAGGAGGGAGAAGAGCCATAGTCGAAGGTACGGATCGGCGCTATTATATAGATCGTCGCCGAATGCTAATCATTTTCTTTGGTGCGGACGGACATTCGGTATTTTTATTGTACATATAAAAGCAAGACGAGACGATCGGACAGAATTAGCATCTCTTTAACAGAGACACCAGCTCGGTATAAAAATCATTTTTCGTTTTCTACCCTCTCTCTCTCTCTCTATCATGTCCACCACGAGCTACGAATAATAATAAAGTATCCGCACATTTCTGCGCGCAGCCCGAGCTGCCCTTATTTACCCCCTTCTCGAGCCATAAATCGCGCGCCAGGCGAAGCATATGTGCCTCCCGTGCGCTTTGCTCGCGCGTATATATATATAGGTGGGTTTTTGGGCAGTGCATGGATCATATACGCGGTATTACATACGGTGTACGAATGTATAGAAAAAACCGAGTAGCCGCACGCTATATAACTACCGTAGCAGCGGAGCGCGCGAGCTGCTCATCCTCCTCCTACACTCGTACAGACACACACATAAATATGTGTGCTCGTATGATATATACAGAGAGAGGGACTCGAACGAATAGAAACATTAATCCGTGTATAGGCTGAGCTATATACGCGTGCCTACACAAGGGTGGCTGCTGCTGCTTGCGCGTCCATCTTCGCCGGTTAGCCTAGGCCCTATATACATCCTGTCCTCTCTCTCTTCCTATATCTCGTATAATACAAAACGGCCAGTGGATCGTCCCTCTCGTCCTCCTCTCTCTCTCGTTGCTTATATGCGCTTCGCTATACTACACGTACAGTCAGTTATATGGTCTTTCGCGTATAAGCTCGATGCGCTGCGCTCCGGTGGCGTTGATGCCGCCGCCACCGTCGCCACTGGCGCGCGTTTCGCACGTGCGCCGCCGCCACCACCACCACCGAGCCACCCTCCCGCCCTCTTCCTCCCCATATATACCTGCGCGCTTCGCAGTCGCTGCTGCTGCTCTCCGGCGCCGAGAGAGAGAGCTAAATCAATGATACCGAGTCTGCGCGCGCGCGAGTGTACACACATAAAGCCGCGAGACTTTTCCATCGCCACCGCGCCGTGTGTGCGAGAAAGACCCGCTGCTGCTGCTGCCGCTGTTCCCTCTCTCTCTCTCTCGCGATGCACAAATCATTTTATATATATATACGCGGGCATCTATGTATTTACTGTATAGCGAGGGCGAGCGTATACGGGGGCTAACGCAAAAATTTTTCGTTAAAATTTTATCAAGCTGCAAGCTCCGAATCTATGTGTATACGTAAGTTACGTGTAATACGTAACGCGTTCGTCTACGAGATCACGTCTCCACATAATCGTGATTTTCACGGCTAGATTTTTCCGTCATTCTTATCATAATTATGTATGTATACAATAATAGCACGGCCGGAATAACGGTGGTGGCGGCGGTGGCGGCGGCTACGGCGGTGGCGTTGAGAATCGAACTTTTTCTCTTAAACCTCCAGTCCTCTCTCTCTCTCTCTCTCAGACGCTCTGTACAGCGTAGTAGTAGTAGTAGTAACAGTAGTAGTAGTAATACTAGCATCGAGAGGAAAAGAGGGAGGCGAGTCGCTGCTATATAGGGATCGCCGCGTATATACGGAGTGCGCACCACCACCCTATGCGCGCGCAAGCGTGCAAAAAGCTCCACTGGCGGTGGTGGCGCACACACACATACACACACTAACACACCCATCGAGACCGAACGAGAGAGAGAGATGCAAAAGGATCGCATAACGTCGCTACTCTCGAGAGCGCGCGCGATCTCCTATGCATGTGTGTGTGTGTGAGTGTATAGACTCTGCGCACAAGTGCGAGAGGGAACGAGAGAGAGAGAGGCTAGAGCACAGTCTCACGGCCAACGGCAGAGCATTGGGCCAGCCAGAGAGTCTGAGTGGATGGTAGTGGTAGTCGTTGCCGCGCCTCGCCTCGCGACCAAACGCACCTCCTCTCCTGCTGGTGACTCGCTCTTATCGTACGCGTATATACGCGTACGTACGTTCATCGGGCCGAGGTTACGAGGTATACGAGATACGAAATTACGTATACGAGATTCGAGCGCGAGTGCAAAAAAGAAAAAAAGAAAGGAGTACAGATCGGTGTCGTGGATGACAATAAATACACATAATAATAATACGTAGTCGAGTGAGTGCATGTGTGCGTGTGTGTGTGTGCGAGTGCGTGCGCGGTTGGACACGAGTTTCAGATATATGCATGGATATATGCAGAGAGAAAAGAGCAGCAGCAGAAGCAGCAGCAGTAGCGATGTATAAGAAGAGCCACACAGGCAGCCGGACCGAACTCGCACCCTAACTACTTGCTCTCTCTGTCTCCGGCAAAATTGTATATACGGCAGCACTACGCAACGTACGAAGAAAAAATACGCAGCTCTCTCCGTCTGACGCGTATCGTTACATTTTAACAATAACAACGCACGCGTACAAGGGAGAAAACATCCGAAACGCAGAGCAAGACTTTTACGTGTAGCCGCGCGTTTCTCTATAGCTCCCTTTACACCCTCCTCCAACTCCCCGCGCGCGCACTATAGTCGTATAGTCCGGTTGGTAGCAGCCTCGTTCCTCCTCTCGACGTCGTCGTCGGCGGAGGCAGCTGTGTCGGTGTGCGTGCCCTCTCAACGGTGCAACCTTCGTGTCTGTGTCTGTGTATGTGCAACTCTCTCTGTGCGTGCGTGCTCGCGCTCCTGCACTCCGTATGCGGATGTGTGCGTGCGCGTTGTGTATATAGTATATAAAGCGGCGGCGATAGCTATATATACAGTGGCAGCAGCAGCGTTGGTGGTGGCGGCGGCGGCGCATCGATCCGCAACCCCGTGTGTGTGAGTGCAGTGTACCTATATGGTATAGTGGTATAATACTATATCTCGACAACGCAGCAGCAGCAGCAGCTCGTGCATAGGAGCGTTGTGTGTATCGTTATATATACGAGATAAGATCCGAGAGTCTAAACTGCAACGACTACTATTACTACCACTACTACTGCTACGCTGGATATAGTGGCTACTTCTACCACTACCACCATATAACATCCAGGGCTATATACGCGCGGATCTTCCGGACTGCAGCAGCGCACAAACGCAATTATCGTATACCGAGTGCGTGCATATAGGAGCGCGCTGACAGCCACTAATGTAGGATATATATAGCATCAACAACAGAATTCGATATAAATAATTTATTACGTAAGAGAATTCGGAGTGAACGTGATATATATATCAGTGCAGCAGTAAGTGTGTAACAGTGTGTGTGTATAAGATCCTGATTACAGTAGCTCGATCCCGCTCGCAGCAACTGTGTGTGTATATGTGTGTTGAAACGCGTTTGTGGAAAGAATAAACGCGACGAGCCACCACACCGGTCGCGCAGGGGTGGCGAGACAGAGAGAAAAAGAGAGAGAGAGCGAATCGATGCTTTTGCGAAAAATAATCGTCATCGGCCTCCGCCAAGAGGAAGGCAGAAGAATCACGACCGTAATCTATCCAAGAGTCAAAGAATAACAAGAAAAGGAAGAATAAATCGTACACCCTAGATCACGCTTGCGATCCAAGAACGCAAGAACTGTAAAAATAATAAGCAGAAAAAGCTCGGCGGCATAAAATCATCGTCGTCATGAGATCCACCAAAGCAACGACCAAGTCGGGCTTGGCGGCGGCTATGCTCCTCTTGCTGCTGCTGCTCGGCGTGAATCTCAGCGAGCAGCAAGAGGAGGACATACCACACGGAGAGTGAGTATATAATATTTTTTAATCTAAATATAATTTTATACTTAAAAAACAATTGGCAAATTGTACCCGTACTCATCGTCCTCGTAAGCTGTGTATACGCGTTTGTCGTTAAAACGCGTGTAATCTATAATATAGGCACGTGTCGGAAGAAGCTCGCGCTCGTCGGAGTAACAAGCGCATAACAGACACACACAGAGACAGACATGTACGCAGAGTCGCACACGTAAACACGTAAACGCTGGGCACGTACTACACAGTAGTAGGGCGAGAAAAGAGAGCGAACGAGCGAGCGAGGCACGGCGTGCGCGAGCAAAGTATGTGTGTACATGTAATCGTACAAGGATAATTAAACGCTCGAGTCCGAGCCCGAGCGCGGAGTAAATAAAGTTTTTTTTTTGCCCCTCCAACTCTGATCTGCTATATGTATATACACTTGCACGACGTGTGTGCTACCGCTGCACATGCACGTGTGTGTTTCTGTATCTGTGTGTGTATCTCTCTCTCTACAGAAGTACGAAGCTTTAAAGCAGCAGCGGCACACAGAATGGATATGGCCAACCTAAATTTTGGCACAATAGATGAACTGACCCATAAATTTTCGTGACATTTGCACTCTCTCTCTCTCTCTCTCACTCGCTACGCTACACGAGCTCGCTACCCACTCAGTCAGTCGCTTTCTCTCTCTCTCTCTTTTTCTCTTGTTTAATTACAAAAGAAGCGCATCGAATCTCTCTCTCTCTAGCAGCAGCATCATCATGAGGCCTGCCAGAGTACATACATACATACATACAGAGCAAGAGCCCCGGTTAAAAAAAGCACACAAACGGCATCTGGATATTACCGTACAAGCGTAAATAATATATGATGATACGCGAATAGTAACTTTTGCGCGAGATACGATATATAACAATAACAGAAACGAGAGAGAGAGAGAGAGAGAGAAGAAGCGACAACGTCGACGACGACGACGACGAAAAAAAAAATATAAAGTATAAATTATCGGCTTGACGCGATATATATTTTTCTTTCTCTGGCTGCGCCGCTGCTATTTTGTATAATATGTATACGTCCGAGAGACACGCGTACAACACAAATAGCTACGCATACACATCGGAGACATACACATGCTTTCTGCTGCTGCACATGCACGTCCCGCAGTCGAGTGTACGCGGCCCGCACTATTATTCACGCGTTTATAGCACTTTGCTCTCTCTCTCCCTCGCTTCATACGTGATCGCCGCAAATGCATAATTCAGTAGAGAGAGACACACACGTATATATACTATACATGGTCAGTCGCAAGAGTGTATATACGTAGGTATGCAATTCGAACGCATCAATCTAATGCTCGGTACGTACCGTACGTACTGTAGGTACATACATTATGGAACCCATGGTTGCTCTTCTAATACGCGTTTATATATATAATATTAACTCGTTTCGAATGCTATGTTTAAGTGGGTGGGCCGTTATGTTACGTTCGAGAGATAGAGAGAGATCGATTAATGCGAGAGAGGAGAGCTGATTTTCAGCAACTAGCCCGTGTCTTATACGTGTATGTGTGTGTGTGTGTGTGTGAGAGAGCTCCGAATCCGTACGACAATTAAGCTCTCGAATCTTTTTATAGACGTTTGGTGTGATATATATAGAGAGAGAGAACGTAACGATCACACAGTAGGAGGAGGTGGAGGAGGACGAATAGTGCACAGCGGTGAATCACTACGGCCAAAGTGAATTTCACTCTCTCTCTGTCTCTATCCCTCGAGAGTGATTATTTTCACGAAATGCAAATTGTTCGGAGCTGCAAGGAGCATGTCAGTTCCGAATACAATGCCCTGGCTTCTCTCTCTTAAGGAGGTCTGCAGAGCTACTCGCAGAATCGCTCCATCGGACTATATATAGAAGCTTGCAGTCGCACACAGACAAGCGCACACACATACACTCGGATATAGTATATATCGTGTAGACAGGGAGAGAAGTCAGAGAGTCTCTCTGTGCAGTGTATACATGCATAGTAAAAGGGTGTCAACCATCGCTTACAGATACTCTTCGACGCTTATACCTTGATATATATAGTAGTAGTAGATCGGGGAAGTGACTTTCGAGAGAGAGAGAGAGGCACAGAAGAAGCTACGATAATGTCCGACTCGATTCGTCGTCGCTCGCGTCGAGCGCGTCGAGCGCATCGAGAAAAATATGTTTACATTCGATCGTGTTGTTGGGACTGGGAGGAAGGGATGAAACGAGAAAATCGTTCGATTGCGGATTTTTGCACGTATATATATAAGAGCGTTGTGTTATTTGTCACGCTTTCGTCGATATTTATATTATACAGTAGCTCGAGTCGTTCGTCTATTCGTTTTTTATAAGGCCGAGTATATTATTGGATATACTGCAATTTCGATAATTCCCTATTATTACTCTGTATATATAATTCGGCAGAAATAGAAAGATATATCGAGAGGGAGAAAGTGAGGAAAGCGGAGAGAACTACGATACGAGTAAAATTCGATACGATCTCAATTAGCTCGAATCTATACGTTCGGATTTTAATCGAACTCGAGGTATATAGCTATAGCTATGTAATAACGAAAACGGCAATACAAACGGGCGTCGATTCATCGATATATCCCTCAAGTTGACGGATTCGACTGCTCTAAAGTTAATATAAAGCAGCATCTATACCTTATCTATATAACAAATCGAATCTCGTGCGTGCGCGTATTTATTCCATTGAATTGTACATCCGCGATATATATGCCTTATGTACAATACTTATCATCGATATGGTATGGTACTATATAGGCACGTATAATCGTGCACCACCACCCGCGAGAGCGAGAGAGATAGAGGATATTCCACGTTCTGTCGCTCCTTCTCGCTTATATATCGCGCCGCGGCCCCGTATAGCGGCGCCAGAGAGATAGAGATTAAAATCAATCGCCCCGTATATACACACAAGCGCGCGAGCGTAAATGTATATAGCCAAATAAATTGATTTCTCCGGGAAATTAATTATTAATATTTTCAACAACGTGACTCCTACGCCGACGCCGCTGTTGCGTTGTTGCCTTCGGTAAATATGCATGCGTACACAAATTTTTCATCCCTTCCGTAATTCTTGCAACACGCGAACGCGAGCCTATGTATGTGTATTGCGCTCATATATTATACATACGTACGCGTACGCGCGTGTGTGTGCGATGCTACTCGTGCATAAATAATGATAATACGCGCGGAAAATTATGATTTCCTGTTGCTGCTGCTGCTGATCCGAAAGCTCACGATCGCTCGTTGGCGTGGCGCAGCTCTCGCGAATCGTGTTATCGTTGCGTCGCGCCTGATAGATATACACATATGATACGATATACGTGTGTCACGAGCTTGTGTGTTTTTGTGCGCCTTGTGCACAGTGAGAGAGAAATACGTGATGAAATCGAATTTTCCGTCTCGAAACGACAGCGTAAAAAGACGTGCTCTAAAAAAATTTCATGGGCCAGACTGAAGAGAGAGAGACGAAATGAACCTCGAAGCTTACATCACGTATATTGTGGTTAATACGTATATACTCGAGGCTCCATCGCGAGGAGGAGGAGGCGAAATACAGCACACTACATTTGATTATGGCATTTTTTTTTTGACACAGCAGTGGAATCGCGAGCTTTTATTTTTTCTATCGACGCGCGCCTCGTATATTATATTATCCTCTCTGGTATATACCACTAGCTGCTCTTCTGCTATGTATATACGTATATAAGTCTCTCTCTCTCTCTCTCTGCACGCGACCGTAAATTATCCGGTATTATCATCGGTTACAAACTGCTGCGCGCCGCGAGTCTGATCCTACATGCATACAATGGAGTAGAGTATAATGTAGCAGCACACGTACACCGAGACGCGGGAAACCCGAGTAAGGAAATGAAAAATTAATACAAAGGGCGCAAAAATCACTCGTGGTTAAGAGAGAGAGCGAGAGCTCACGCGAGTTTGAGCATATATAGCATATATACAGTGAAAGCACGACTCGAGCTCAAATATAGTTCGAATTATCGCGTGATTGGAAGTGAACGATTGGTCCTATTTGAGTTCCTCTCGAATCAATGTTTAAATGTCGCGTAAAATTTAATACTTGTTTTTAAGTGTGCGATTAAAAACCATTTGATATTTTTATTAATATAAATTAAAATCTTTAAAATACGCTTGATAAACATTTTTGTAAATCTTCTTTAAGATATTGGTAAGCTTAGTCCTCATCGAGAGAAACATCGAATAGTACTTGAGTTACCGCAAGATGGCGCGTGGCTGAATTTTCGAAAGTCACAAGTGAAAAGCTAAAGATCTAGAAATAAGTTATAAAGTCAATCATCGTATTCTAGTAGTCCTGAAAGCAACTTGTCATAGACCCCAGAACTTCGAATCATGCGATTACCACCATAAATAATAATAATATACCGTCAATTTTATTCGCCTCAAAGCCAAACGACCTCTCCTTCGTCATCAAGTGTACACGTAACAATGTATTATAAATGCAAAAAAGGAACAGATATTATACATCATCAACGCGTTCGAGTATACGATGCGGTTAAAAAGAAAAAAAGAACCCCGTGAGGTATAGAGGAGAGAAGAGCAACGATTAGCCTCCGGGGCCGGGAATTGCGCTGACGAAGCAACACAATACGTAATATCTATATAAGACGAGAGAGGTAACACGGGCAGAATTTCCATGGCTCTGGGGCCCTCGGGGCGTCGAAAGTCGAGTTCGCGCTGCAGCGGTGTGGTCTCCCGATCGGAAAGCTTCGTTCCTTCTTTTTTTTTTTACTCTCTACTTTACCTTTTCTCGATTCTCGTCTCATGCCGGTGGCACTGTATATACACCAGGACGAGGACTCGAGATTCGAGAGCTTATTATTTTATGACAATGACGATGATTATGATGACGACGACGATGACGCGCGTAAAAGTCCTTTATTCGAAGCTCAATCAAGCGTATTATACATCGTATAGTAACGCGAGCCGAGGACGCGAACGAGAAACGAGAAGAAAAATTGGGGGGCTCGTTTTTTTTTATCTCTTAATTTGACCATAGGTAAATTTGACACGATGTAGAGAGCTACGCGAGAGTACGCGAACGGACGGGACGAAAAGACAAAAAAAATAATAAAAAAGAGAAAGAAGTGAGCGAAAGAGGGAGAGAGAGAGAGAAAGTGCCGAGTCCGTATAAGGGAATTAGTACTCTCTGGCGCGCGCGCGCGAGCTGCAGTGCTGGTACTGGTGTATGTGTGTGCCCGTGCGGTTGGAAACGAGCGAGGAAAAGTTAAAAAGCATCTGCTGCGCGCGATAATTTCTCTCCGTGAGCAGCGGTGGCGGTGGCGGCGGCAGCCGAGAAGCATAGGGTCGGATTAGCTCAATTAATTCCCATTAGCCACATCAACGTTATATGTGTGTGTGCAGTGGTATACGTGTGTGTGTCCACGCGCGCGTGTGCATATATAGCTGCGGTGCTGCGTGGCATCCGCGCACTCTCCTTCGAATAATATTCAAAGTTTTTCGAGTACTAAAATATAAAAACCGAGAGAGAGAGAGAGAGATAAAGAGCGGTGGTAGTGATAGTAGTGGCGCTACTTTTAACTCAAGCCTCCTACGTATAACACACACACACAGAAAAAAACCTCCGCTGTTGTGCAGCTCTTGACTACGTGAAAAGCTCTCCTTTCTCGTACACATGGCACACACACACACAAGTAAACGAGTATTCGAGCTTGCGCAAGCTCTCGGTGGAGAATGTCACTTGAAAAACCTCGCGTTTACCGTATATAAATAGCATGTGCAGCGCGCGCGCGCGCGAGCAAGACATTTTTATAATTTTTCACTGTTGCTTCGCTCTTCTCTCGTTTGTGTGTACCCGTAGCACGGTGCGCTCGAAAAATTGTTGAGAATTTTGCGTTTACGATTCGATCTTCTTTTTTCCTCTCGATGAATTCAAAGTATATGAAGAAAGAGAGAGAGAGACTATTCGATGGAATAAAAACTATCGGGCTGAATTTATATACGCCGGGCGAGATCATCAATCCATCGCATCTATCCACACCCTTGCAGTGCCATATTATATATACCCTTCTCCGCAAGCTCTCTCTCGCACTTTGAGTATATGCGGACTGGGAGGGACGAAGGACGAGCAAAACTTTGGCCTCTCTCGCACTCTCCGCGCGCGCGGTGGCAAGAAAAAGAAGAGGACTTTCAGAGCTATATACATATATAGCGTAGAGTAGACAGAGCGAGAGATAGAAAACGTCCGACACGGCAGTGTAGGCAGGGTAGAGAGAGAGAGAGCGGTGGTAAAAAATTCCATTCACTACTAAACGCTCGAGGGTGGGTTAACTTAAAACACGTCTCCACATTGACACGGACCAGCTTCGCACACGTACACGTACACAAATACAGAGAGAGAGAGAGAGAGGAAAACGAGCTTTTCTCCAATTCGACTCTTGAGAGAGTTGTGTATAGAACGTACAGTACGTTGTATGTATGCAAGTAGCAGCAGCAGCCACCCTACCCTAGACTTATCCCTGTATGTGTCTGTGTGTAGGTATGGTTATGTATATGCGGCGCGGACTCGCGCGCCAACAGATACGCAATTTATGCGAAGCGAAACTTTATCAACTTGAAAGTTTCGGAGCTCTTTTATATACGTATATGCAGGGGGGCTCGGGCTTGCAAGCTCTCTAGCTATAGGGCCAACGTCCGCAAGCTCTCCGAGGCCGAGGCATAGCCCGAGCAATAGCCAACTAGTAGTGTGCAGTTATGTCTCTCTCTCTCTCTCTCTCGCTCCCTCTCACTCTCGAGTTTTACAAGTTCTCTTACTCTCGCTCCCCCTCTCGGTCTCTCTCTCTCTGCGAGTGCAAAGCTGTAACCAAAAAGCTCCAGCCCCCGCGCTCGAGTGTATACAGGAAAATAAGGAAAGGAGAATGAAATAGGAGAAGCGAGAGAGAGAGAGGCAAAAACCCTCTCGTCTTTTGCCTAAACACAACCGCAAGTGCCAGTAAGAGAGAGAGGAAAGTGTTGCGCTCGCTCGAAAATATTATTCAGACGAAAGTTTTAGCTCGGCGCGAAATTGAGATACGCTCGACGGCGGCAGCGGCGGCGGCTCTCGACGTTCTCTCATATTATACACCCGAGCGCTTGCGTACGATGTCGCGCGCTCGTATATGCATGCACTGTTATATGCTCGCGTGTGCATATGTGTTTAGACCGTTGCCAGATGCCACGACATACACGCTTATATGTACGCATACGTGTACGGTATACGTCTATATATGCGAATTTCGTTGTGTATCTATATACACGAGCTTATACTGCACGAGCCAAGGGGGGTGGGGTGGGGTTGGGGCGAGAGAGAGATTATCACCGAGGAATGAAGAGTTTCGAGCCGAGGCGGCTCGAGGATTGGCTACGCTGGAGCTCGCGTATTATGCTCGCTCTCTGTGCGCTTCGTACACACACACACACACACATATGCGTTGCTGTTGCTGTTGTGCGTATTATGTCAGATGCGGGGATTTCTACTCCCGCAGAAAGCGTTACAATATGTGTGCATGCGTGTTTATACGTACGTATATAGTACTCCACCGGAGAGAGGAGGGAAGAGAAAAAGAGATAACATTCGCGAGATTTTTTTGCTTCTTCTCTTTTCTTTTTTTTTTAGTACTCGAGCATAATTCGAAGTTTTTCGAGATATCGATTATCCGACAGCCTCGACGTCGTAGTCGTATTCGTCGTCGTCGTCGTCGTTACGTGTAAGCTTTTGCGGGAGGTGGTAGGTACTACTACTACTACTACTTGGCAGTTACGCGCGAATGTGGAGCAGCTAAAAGTCGCGTTATTATCGTCGTTCAACTTACTTATACAGCATTAGATATCTTGAACATTGAATCTCATTTGACGAGAGAGCTCGCGAAGCTCGAAGCTCGTCGTGCGCGCGCGATATGGCACACGTCGCCAGCGATATAAATCAAAAAAACTCGCGCTCGCAGCTAGATCCCGCATTATTACATTACGGCTGCGCACATACGCACGCGCGTGATTCGATTGCGCAATCGCGCTCGACGATCGAAAAGCTCGGTGTTGTAACGAAAAAAAAAGGAAGGAAAAAAAGAAAAAATGAATAAACGCTCGGTCGCCTAGATAGTAGTACGAACTGCAATTTTTCCAGCGCGCCGATGATCGCGCGTGATCGCTACTGCTGCTTCTGCGCAAAACCACGCGATGCGTGCATGCGTTTGTGTGCACACAGTGCGGGGGGCCGCGCATGACGAAACATTGAAAACGCACGGAGCTGCTATTGTTGTTGTTGTTGTTGTTGTTGTTATTGCCAGATGTACAAGCTTGCGATAGAGGTATGTGTGCCTCGAAAGAGAGAGAGAGAGAAAACGAGCTGCTTGCGCTTCTTCTCCTCCTCGTATCTGGGAAAAGGATACTTTTATTCCGCAGCCGCGTTTTCAATTGTCATGGCGATGAGTCTCAGAGAAAGAGAGAGAAACGGTAAATAGGTCGGGTACAACAAACATGTTCAGAGGGCGAAAAGGGGGAGAGAGAGAGAGAGAGAGAGAGAAGGTAGCATTTAACGCGTCACGCTCTCATATACATGTATATAACATGCAGAGCTCTCTCTGCGTTGCTATTCAGATGCTGGTACAATTCAGGACACAAACTGATGCACACTCACACATACACACGAGCACAGGAGTATACGAGTGTGTAGTATATGTATAAGTGGGAAGGAAGGGGGTGCACATACCCTATATACATGTATACGGCACACACACATACAGAGAGCAGTATAGTGACTGGCACAAGCGGGCGAGCAAGTTTTTATCTGGGGTACGCCTTGGCTCGCTCGCTCGCGATCGCGAGCGCGCTTTAATTCTCATTTTCTCAACTTTATGCGTTATTATATTATTATAAGCATACGCACGCCGAGGGGCCGACAAGTTATAAACGATTATTATCGATTTCGATGTTTATCTGCGATCTATATAATATATGCTGTATCGTGCTCTACATTTCTTACTTTTTTTTCTATTTTTACAGGGTGAGGAACTGGGCCCTGAAGTTCGGAGTCGATCTCTGGGAGTTCGGCCGACAGATCACCAAGATGAGCGAGATTCAGAGAGTAAGTATACGCACACCGTTATGAAGATATTTACAATGAAAACGGATGTAATATAGCGGAGGAAGTTTTTTTTCCTTCGATGGATTTATTTTACATGAAATCATTAATATTAGTTGAGATTTAAAATTTTATATAATGCTTTTCTGATACTTCAGATTCAATATAAAATACTTCGAGTTAGATTCAAATTACATTATTTTCATATTAATTTTCGTGTCATTTTAAATTTCAACATTTCAAATGAAAAACGTCACTCGAACGTAGTGGTTAATCGAAATTCAGTACAATATCTTTAATACTTGGAATAGAAATGAATCTCATCGCGTCGTATTTTATGACAAAAAACGGTAGTTATACACAGAAACTTGCCTTAGGTTTAGTAATGTGGGAAACGGACGCTAGCTGCGCCGCGCTTCGTCTTATACAATTATTTTGACTTTTCCACTTGCCGATTCACAGATCAAGGTACTCGCCATCTAGTGGCGGAGACTGACATTAATTATGATTGGTTTTTTATGAATTTTTTCGTACAATTATAAAAGAATGCATTTAAAATATATCTTTGTCGTTCATTTCTGCATTAAAATTAATTAATACCGTTGAATTTCCCTTGCATCATTTTTTTGTTCACGAAAAAGTATGAATTCTGTATTTTTCGATTATACATTAATGTTCAACGAAGATTTCATGTATAATCTTTAATAACATTTTAACGTTTGATTTCACATCGAATCATTAGTTTAATCTCATACCATTGTAATCAATGATTTTCCTCTTTTACATATTCTCTCTGTGATTTCGTCGTCGCACGGCGCGCAGAAATACAAGAGCACCAACTCGGCGGTACTGAAGAAGGACGGCCTGGTGCTCGTGCGCGAGATGGCAGCCGAGGTCAAGAACATGATGGACTTCAAAATGAACGCGGTCATGGTAAATCAAAACTATATATAGCATCAAAATTATAACGAGCAAAATTCAAGGTACAATGGGGAAAACAAATTATGCTCGAGGATCTAATTCACTTGGTCTAAAAAAACCTCCGTTCGCTCCCTTCGCTTACCTCGTTCAAATTAGCAAAATCTCGCTCTCGCGCGCGGCAACGAAATACAAAAATCCCTCGTCTGCGTATATATAGGGGAGTCACGCTCGCTCTCTAGCTCTCTCTCTCTCTCTCTCTCTCTCTCTCTCTCTCTCGACAGACAAAGAGCAGACAATGAAAATTGCCTCAATTAAGCCTATACGCGGAGCGTACAATATATAACACGGGAAAGGCGTTGAAACAAAAGCCCCGTGCAGGGCTTATGCTGCACCGAGTCCTCCCTCTCGCACCCAATTGCTTCGCGTAGATATATACCTATATATCGAGAGATAGAGAGAGAGAGAGAAAGGACAATGAAGCGTAGAAATAATATTCCCGACGAAATTTCGAAATCATAATTTTGCTGATACGATCCCTATATATAACTATACACACAGAAACTAATGGAGAACGCCGAGCAAGCGGCCGTGTCCATCGGCCGTGGCGCAGCGAGCTCCGACTCGGCCAACGGACCGACCTCGTCCGCGTCGACGACGAGTCCGCCCAAGTACTACGCCAGCGAGCGCATCAATCTGTTCAGCGACGATGGTAAGCTCAATCCGGGCGCACGCGAGATGTATCTCACGGCCAATCGCCACTTCGACCACATCGCCGTGAATCTGAGCCTGTCGGCCGTCCTCACCACGCCGGCCGTCAAGGATACCGGTGAGTATAATTCGCTTTTATTTATACCCCGCGTTATCTTCGTATTTGTATCGTCGTTATTTGTACTCATAACCGAGACCTCGAGAGAGCCACATTATGCTCGCACACATGCATGCATGCATGCATGATGCGTTTTATATCGAGGTCAAGGTTTGAAAAAGAAAAGCGAGGATGCTTCGGGGCTGCGGAGAGAAAAAGAGGAATTGATGCGCTCGAAGCTCGTATAACGGCATTTCTATTATTCGATTTTTTTTCTTCTTTCCTGTACGCGTCTCGAGCACCGATTCTCTATTTTTCTCTCTCTCTCTCTCTATAATATTTCACCTCGAGAGAAGAATAAAATAAATCGCCCCATACGCGAGCACTTGTACATCGCGCATCGGTCCATTAAACGCGCAATATGATATAATAACACGACGATGTATATGTTGTATCGGCGAATAAAGACGCTGAGGTGGCCTCGGCGCTGCAATGGAGCGAGTACCTCGACCCGCTATTCGTCAACAATTACGAGAGCGACCCGAGCCTCTCCTGGCAGTACTTCGGCTCCACCACCGGCTTCCTGCGACGCTTTCCCGGTAAGTTATTTTTATTATATAAGTAGGTAAGGGAGAAAAAAGAAACTCCATTCATCGTTTTTGTAATCGCAACACAGCGATATCGTGGCCACCGGTCGACACGTCCCCGGTGCAGAACGGGCCCGTGCAGGTGCGCGACGTCGACGACTTCCGTCTCTCCGACTGGTTCGTCGGTGGCGCCACCTCGCCCAAGGACCTGGCGATCCTCGTCGACGGCAGCAGTCTGTCGTCCTCGAAGCAGCGAGGCTTGATCCTGGCCACCGTCAACGCCGTGCTGGACAGCCTCGGGCCCGACGACTACGTCAACGTCTATCGTTTTGGCGACACGGCCGAGGAGATAGTGCGCTGCTTCAAGGACAGCATGTTGGCGGCCTCGCCCGACAACGTCAAGGAGTTCAAGCAGGCGCTGGCCCAGCTGAAGCCCGAGTCGCCGGCCAATCTGGCCAACGCCATGAGCGCCGCCTTCGAGATACTGCACAAGTACAATCGCTCGTCGCAGGGCAGCCAGTGCAATCAGGCGATCATGCTGGTGACGGGCAACGGCGATGCTCCGCCCGTAGATCTCGTCAAGCGCTACAACTCGCCCCACATGCCCGTGAGGATATTCGCGTATCACGTCGGCGGTGGTAACAGCGACGATCTCAAGTCCATGTGTTGCAACAACAAAGGTAACGACGATAATGACATTTTTCGTTGTCGTGTGACGATTCGGTGAAAATGTTGTTGTTTTTTTTTGGCAGGATACTACGCGAGGATCACCAACGCCGATCAAGTGCGCGCCAAGGTGTTCGAGTACATCAAGGTGCTGGCCCGGCCAATGGTGCTCTATCAGCGCGATCATCCCATTCACTGGACGCCCGTTTACGTGGGTGGCAAAGTGAGTGATTATCGTTATCGTTATTATTTCAAGTACGCGCTGCGGATTTCGATCGTCTCCCGCCATAGCTATCGTCGGTTTTCGAGTGTACGATACCTAGCTCGTATCGTATGCAGCTATATACGTATATATAGGCGATCGATTTCTTAGATGACGAGGAGAGAGAGAGAGAGGACTTTGAGCTCGTTTGCGAAATTACTCCTCCCCGCGCACTCGCGGATGGTATAAGGAGGGGACGAGCGCGATCGCGTGGAATTTCTCATCCTCTCTCCGAGATGACACCCTCCCCCACTTCTCGTCCTCCTCTTCGTATATTCTCCTTGCTCTCTCGGTCGTCGCTCGTCCGCCGTGTGCTGCTGCAGCCACTACTGCTGCTACTACCACTAAGACTACTAGTGGCATTTATCGAAACTTTAAATTGATCTTCTTTTAAAACTTTTCATACCGCGCGCGCGAGAGAGAGAGAGAAGAGACGACGGTTTATATGACGAGCCTCTTGCCTCTCTCTCTCTCTGTGTGTTGCACACGAACGATACGATCCTTTCGCTCGGGCTTGTTTTAAGTGCGTTTTCCTCCTTGCCTCTTTCCCTCGAGACAGAGAGCAGTGCCGGGAAGAAAAAGAAGAAAATCACATTATCTCGCTCTCGCTCTCTTTATTTCCCTTTTTTCTTTATTTTTCACTCGCGCTTATGATCTCTGAAGAAATAACCGACGATCGCCAATTACCGCATACTTACTTAACTTACAACTCGAATGAATTCTGATGCACGTACTATTATCGAGTGATAGAGAGATAACGATGAAAATGAAAATAAAAATAAAAATGTTTTTCCCATGCGTGTTTGCGCCCACACAGAGCAGCAGATACGGACTGGAGGGTCAAGGCCAGCTCATGACGTCGGTCACCGCGCCCATATTGGACCGCAGAAATCACACGGTAGGTTTATATGTAATTCAACCTCTTGCCCGCCACCACCAGCACCAGCACCAACACTACCTCCATCTCTACACACAAATACGTACACACGGACGTATATAGACATTTAGACCAGGTGTAAGTGATCGTGGCAGCTCCTTGCGCCGGCCGATTCTCGGATACTACGTACACACACACATACACGCATACATACATGTACATTGCAAGCTCCGGCTCGATGCTCGCTCTCATTATACGATCCAATGGGCTCTTAGCCCACTCGCGCGAGCGAGAGAGAGAGTAAGAGCCGCACACGCGCTATATACAATGTAACGTAGGCTTTGTATACTACTATTATTATCGATACTACACTGTGTGGCGCGCGGGGAAAACGGGGGGTGGTGGACGCGTACCGCACCGGCTTATATAGGCGCTGCACACACACACACACACACACACATATCGACGAGATGCGGCTGTATGCTTGCAAAAGCTGCCCGTCCGTTGTACATGTACATATACGCGTGCGATGCTCGTCGATATCGATCGCTCGCGGCGCAATTCGCTCGTTCGCTCGGCGTAACGCACTACACACACGCGCGCATACGCACTCGCCTATATAGATGTGTATATTTGAACGTGTACATGGGAAAATCTTCAAAGTGTGATCCATACATATTTTGTACAAGAGTGATTCAATTTGACAAGTGTAATTCAATTTGACGGTATTTGTCAAGTTGTAAAGCGATTGCTTCGGTACAGCCGAAATTATGGTACATTTATCATCGGAGAATGTGAATGAACATACTTACGCTGTGATAATTCGAAAAAGAAAAATTGAAATACACAAGACTTAAAAAATTAATATGGCAATCGAATTGGAAACTTATTGAGTCGATTGTAATTGGTTGTTGAAATTTGTGTGTTGTTGGTAAGAACTGCGAGGTCATACCTACCTATAGTGATTTATGTGGGTTTATCGATAATTGCAAAATAATATCTTTTCATCATTAAATATACGGCGTACTTTAGAATCGAGTGAGTTGAATTGCCTCTAATTTTGGAGATCACTTTATCGGCGATTGCAGTTGTTCAATCGTTCGTATGCAGGACAATCAGGTGTGGGGGTTGTCGGACGGTGTTAGAATGAATAAATTAGAAGTACGTTCGTGAAAAATATTGTTTATTATAAAGTTAACGAAATAATAGTGAAAAAAATGTCACTTACAATCAAGAGAAAATGAATAACAGGTTGAAACACTTCATTATTATTCTTCATACAATAAATGGGTATTTACGCGAAAGATTTTCTAAAATTGTGTAGTGTACTGAAGCGATTGTAGAAGACTTCATAATTATGATCTCAAGGTTAATTGTTTCGATTATGTACTCTATTCAAGTGAATTTTAAGATTACTTTTTTGTCCAAATGATTTGTGACAAATCCCACACTCAAAGGGTTTGATACGATAATGTACTGTATTTATGTGAACTTCAAGGTACCTTTTTCGTTGAAATAATTTGTGACAAATTTCACACTCAAATGGTTTGCTACGAACATGTACTGTTTTCATGTGTATTTTTAGTACATGTTGGTATCCAAATGATTTGTGACAAAATTCACATTCATAAGGCTTGCTCCGATTATGTACTGCAGTTATGAGCCTTTTCAGGATTGCTTTTAGTCCAAATGATTTATGACAATACACATTCATAAGGTTTGCTCCGATTATGAACTGCATTTATGTGAACATTGAGGTGACTTTTTTGTCCAAATGGTTTTTGACAAATGTCACATTTAAAGGGTTTGCTCTCATCATGTACTGTAATCGTGTGACTTTTAAGTACACATTGGTATCTAAATGATTTGTGACAAATTTCACAATCAAATGGTTTGCTACGAACATGTACTGTTTTCATGTGCATTTTTAGTACATGTTGGTATCCAAATGATTTGTGACAAATATCACATTTGAATGGTTTGCTCCGATCGTGTACTGCATTCACGTGACGATTGAGAGTACCCGTTTCTCCAAATGATTTGTGACAAATATCACACTCGAATGGTTTGCTTCGATCGTGTACTGTCATCGTGTGTCGGTTGAGGGTACTTATTTGTCCGAATGATTTATGACAAATGTCACATTCAAAGGGTTTGATAAGATCGTGTACTGCATTTATTTGATATATCAGGTTAATTTTTTTTCCAATTGATTTGTGACGAATCTCACATTGGAAGGGGTTTCTACGATTATGTACTGCATTCATGTGAACATTTAGATGGCCTTTGTGACTTGAATGTGTATTTAAACTTGCTTCACTTTTAGAAATTTTTCGATTTATCTTGCACTTACATGATAATTTTCTCTGAGTCGGTTTCGTAAATATTTTATCCTTTTTGCATTCATCAATTTTCAATCGGGAATTTACTTGAAATTGGCAATTTTTATCATAATCGAATGCTTTTTTTATCAAAACTATCGGATTCTTATCATTAGTGAGAGTTTGGTTTTCTATTTTCACAGTCGATAGACAACTTTGGTACTCAGTTTTGAAGTTGGTTACTATTGATGACTTTGGTTCAAGTTTAACATGTCTGCACTCCAAATCAATGAATATTTTTTCATCTATTTTTTCTTGCAATGCCATAACCTCATTCGTGTGATTCGCCTAAAATTAAAATTTCTTTGTCATTCTGTATAGTAGAAGTACTGAACATAATTAAACTCACGGATGATTCATGAAACGTCAATGTTTCGACATTTTTGACTTTGCAAAAGTCAATGGAATCGAAAATGTGATTTTCGCCTGCATCTGGCCAAGTATCGCTTGGCTCCTTCTTCACTCTGAAAAATCATTGACTCGAATGAAACTATCACTTGCAAAAATATCGTGGCAAAAATAAAAAAGTACTATAGTGCTGTGTGTACCTGACCATGTCCTCGCTGCTTTCCATCAATCCCTTGTTTGTAAGTAATCACTGTGAAATTTTCACCGTTAGCACTGCGAAAATATTCGAGGTTATGCGCAAACTAGAATAGCCAACAGCACGGTATCTCGATTGCACTGATTTGTAAACACTTGTTCAAGAATGCAGTTCCTTTATATAGCGATTGAAAGCAGCACTTTGTAATATAAGCAGGTTATCCCGCGATTGCGATATATCTTTGCGATTCTTTTGCGTCGAACACCGTTGAATGGCAGTATACGCAATAATGTACTGAATCTAATGAAGAAATATTTGCACAGTGGAAAAATATAACTCCAAACTCACACCGACACAGTGCATAAAGGTACTTGATATTGATAGCGAAGTTCTATTAGTTTTTGAAGTTGTAGATGGTAGTAAAATAAGCGCAGCAGTGGTATCGATAATTTTGCAAAATACAATGCATAGCGTATATACTCGAAATGAACATGTTATATCTGATTTTTGGATGTAGATGGCGTCTGAAGCACTGAGCATGAGTTTTCATATATGACAATGTCTACGAACAAGTGTGATCATCGTTTTCCGCGTAGATTTGCCCATGTACACGTGTATCTCGCTATATTCCGAGTCGAGCGCGGCACATAATGTATATACCGATGCATCTCCGAGCCATATACGCACATAATACACACAAGCACTCACATGTATACAGAAGATACAACGCAAGGGGGGCCTATATTACACGTAAACCGCCGAGTTTTGGCCTCTGCTCGCTCGCATACGCCTGTGTGTATAGACGCGAGCTTAGAGCTTCAACAGAGGTTTGACGTGGTTTTGCACTGATATTGCGGCTTGATATGGCTCCTCCAGCCTCACCCCCTTCCTCCCTCCCTGCCTTCTCCATATACATACGCCGTATACCATTACACGATGCGTATACATATATATAACGCGCAAAATATGTTTGCCGAGATTTCAGCCCTTTTACCCTCTCGCGCGCAAACGCACACTGTACGACATAAATCATGTATCGCGCGCGCACACGATGACACACTCAATAATATAATGTGCTGCACTGCGTGTAACGTGGTGGAAATATACTTTTATCTCTCGAGCTAGCGCGTTTATCGTAATATTTTTACGCATTATTTTTCTCTTTTTTCTCGAAGCAGGAGAGGACGGCTAATTTGCTGGGGATCGTAGGTACGGACGTACCGATCGAACAGATTCAGAAACTCTTGCCGGCGCACAAGGTAATTTTGCACATATGATATATATTTTCTTGACTCGAGCTCGCGGTCGAGCTTTTTTGTAACGATATAATCATATGGTATCTGATTTTCTTTTAGCTGGGAGTCAATGGTTACTCGTTTTTGGTCGACAACAATGGACGAGTCTTGTACCACCCGGATCTGCGACCTCTGGTAAGACAATCAAAACTTTCAAAATATTTCTTTTTTTTTAATTACATATTTTTTTAACGTCTGTGTCATTGCTTATCTTTCACGCTTGGTCCTCGCCGCAGCCCGGAAATCAAGACGTAAGTGTACACAACTATAATTGACGTTACATCGGAAAATGCGAAAATATTAATGTTTTCTTTTTATTCATACACAGTACGAGGAAACGTTGAAGAGGAAATACATCAGCGTGGACCTGTCGGAAGTCGAGCTCTCGGATTACGAGGGTCCGCTCTACTCGATGAACAATTCTCTGCTCCTGGACGTAAGGCTCCGAATTTTCTCGACTCGCTCGATTTAATAATTTCCAAAAATTTAATCCTCGTGAATTCCTTTTTTTACCCGCAGCTACGACGCGACATGATCGACCAGAAGGAGGGCGAAACCGAGTTCTCGGTGAAGAGCCACTACGACGAGATGAGGCGGGTCAGCGTGCGCCGTCACAATTACTTCTACGAGCCGATCAAGGGCACGCCCTTCTCGCTGGGCCTCGTGCTGCCCGAGGGCTACGGCATGTACGAGCTGCACGCCGAGCAGGAGATAAGACACGCACACGGCAACGGTACGTACGCCGCATTCGTAATTATTATTCTCAATTGCTGCCTTCTATCGTCGTTTTTGGTCGAAAAAGCATATTTTCGATATGATCGACGATCGGTACGCGCGTGTGTGTATAAAATACGTTATTGTACTTTTGCGGTGCGGTACTGCGTGCCTCATTAAGTATGTATACGATATTATACGTACGCGCGCGTGAATCGCATATATAATAACTATATACGATTTTCCCCTCGTTCTCTGGCCCGCGCAGTGACGCAATACTTCAAAGGCACCAACTGGAAGGTGCACCCCGACTGGACGTACTGCGAGTACTACTTCGAGTCGGACAAGTGGTTCGCCACGCCCGAGGAGCGGGTGCTGCACTTCCTCACCCAGGCCCACAATCCGGGCTGGAAGTGGCGCTCGATGAGGCCCAAGAGCCCCACGTCCCATCAGAAGCCGGCCAACAAGCCCGACAAGGATTCCTACTTTTGTGAGTTGTGCCTTACGATATATGAGCAATTCTCTAAATGAAACGCATTTTTGGAGGTAGAATCGCGTCAAATTTTTTTTTCAACCTACGCGGATACGAACCCCCGGGAAATGTTTTTGGGGGTCCTAGGAACATGTAACCACGTAGGAACCGTTGAAATTTCAATAGTGCTTACTTTTATAGCTACTTTTGTGATTTAGAGGACGAAAAATCATGTTTTCTCGTAAATACGGCTAATTACTCAATTACCAAGTCGCTGAAAAAGTATCAAAACTCTTCTAAAAAAAATAACTGGCTACTGTGTTCGATAGGAAATTTTCTCAGCTTTACAATGGTGGTATCAGATTTTCCGATAAGTGGCACATTCACCGAGAAAATCGCCATCAAACAGGCCAAGCTAAATATCTCGAAAAACTCGGTACGGTAAAAGTGATCTTAGATGTCTATTTTTGATTTTTCCTGTTGAAAATGAGATTTTTCGGAAAATCTGACTGCACCATGAGAAAGCTGAGGAAATTTTCTATCGAAAGCATATCTTCATTTATTTTTTCAGTGGAATTACGAGCTAGTTTTGATTGTACCGAGCCGAAAACCTCGCGACCGCGCTGAATCAGCTCGGAAACAAAAAACAGGGAACAACGTGAAAGAAATTCCCATGTATAACATTGTGATTCGACTCAAGAAATAAATGAAGATATGATTTTGATAGGGAATTTCCTCAGCTTTCTTATGGTGTAGTCAGATTTTCCGATAAATTTCATTTTCACGAAGAAAAATTGAAAATAAACCTCAAAAATCACTTTTTCCGTACCGAGTTTTTCGAGATATTTAGCTTGGCATGTTTGATGGCGATTTTCTCGGTGAATGAGCAAATTGTGGGAAAATCTGATGGCACCATTGGAAAGCTGAGGAAATTTCCCATCGAACACAGTAGCCAGTTATTTTTTTTAGATGAGTTTTGATACTTTTTCAGCGACTTGGAAATTGAGTAATTAGCCGTATTTACGAGAAAACATGATTTTTCGTCCTCTAAATCACAAAAGCAGCTATAAAAGTAAGCACTATTGAAATTTCAATGGTTCCTACGTGGTTACATGTTCCTAGGACCCCCCAAAACATTTCCCGGGGGTCCGTATCTGCGTAGGTTGAAAAAAAAATTTGCCACGATTCTACCTCCAAAAATGCGTTTCATTTAGAGAATTGCTCAGATACATCTAAAGCGATCGATTTATTCAATTTTGTATAATCATGATAATTTGTTGATTCGCAGGTGACAAGGGATTGTTGCAATCGTTGGTGCTGGACGCCTGGGCCACCGACGACTTCGACAAGAGGAGCGAAAAGTCCATGCAGAAGGAGGAGAGGTAAGTGATCCTCGGCGAGAGAGATTAGTGAGAGAAAAAAAAAAGAATAACGATAAAGTGGATAGCTTGCACCGAGTTCTCCAATTGTTAAAAGAAAATGTTACGATAATAATTTTCGATCTCATTCAGCACCAAGTAATTATAAGATAATTGCACATTCATGTTTGCACTTTTTCCAAGAAAAAAAATTAATAAAGAAGACAACCGATCAATGGCTGCTCTTATGTGTATGGGCAAAAAATCGATGATCCGTGTAAAGAACAATTATTAAGTCATTTAGAGCTCTCGGGCCATCGATCGGTTGTGCTACTGATAACGATGATTTTGCTTCTTTTGAGCACTGCACCTAAAGGTATCACCGATTCTATATCTCTTAAAAAAAAAATGCACCGCTGTCACCGTTATTACGCACCACAATTTTTCATTACTATCAATGCACTTGTTTTTATAGCAGCACCAATTTTGAACGATCACCTATTACAATGCTGAATTTCATTTTCACTTATTAATTTCTATATATTCTTTACTGTATATGTTAAAAAAAAAATTATGAGAAAAAAACCACTATATTATGATTGTGTGTCTTCACCACCAGCCCAATTGCCATACTGATGGCTGTACTGCACAGGTAATTGATAATAGCACAATTTCTGTTTTTCACTATTATATGATGTATCTAGGCACATTAGTTGCATGAAAAGAAAAGTATGTGATTGCGTTCATTATATGCATGACGAGTTGATGAAATTTTTTGGTTTTTGTTTTTCAATTATGATTTTTGATGCACAAAACACAATTGCACAAAGCACCTGCACCATATCGATAAGATAAAAAAATGTGAATTTTTTTTTTTTGAATATCAATAAATATAATCATGATCATCATGTGAAAAAAAACAACTTACTTACGTTTTAGGAAACCATTCATCAAAATATCCACTTGATCACAAAAATTCTCGGCCTAAATTACAAAAAAAAATTGTCCAAATCATTCATTTTATGTGTCAAAAAAAAAGAAAAAAAACAAAACATCCAATAAGTATTGAGAAACCCATGGATTGAGAAACATACCCTGGACAAATTCACGGGATAAAATATATCACTCGAATAAATAAATATATATATTATCACACATCAGTTGAGCTTGAATTTGAGAGAATGAAACCATCGAGCGACTGTGTTTTAGAAATTCATTTTTGACCACTATTAACAACTTATGCACGGAAAAGGGGTGAAAAGAGGGAACAAAATTGTTGATCGCTCCGTGGGTGGTTTTTTCTTGCAGCAAGGGCAAGGGTAGATTCGACGTGGCGAGGAGCTTCATCGCCACGAGGAGCGGCCTGCTGCGCTGGCACGATCATCATCCCAACGACGACGTCCAGGAAGAACCGTAAGTTTTATACCGCTTGAATGCATAGTTGAACAAAAACTCATCGTTCATCAAAGAAAATAGAAACATGATATATTCTTGCTCACAACACGTAACCCATACGTAATTGCATAAATCGCAGCAAATTCATTCACGTATCAAAAAACACTTATCACAAACACTCGAAATCACGGAAGCATTACCCGAGGCGACAGCACTACTACGTTCGTAGACGCTGGAGGAGACAGAGAAAGTAATTGAATTCATGATATAACACGATTATATACATGTGTACATGTGCATGCCACAATCAACTATATTACATATTGCATGACGAAAAAAAAAATTATGTTATTTATTGTATTATGAGCTGTTTTTGATCGAATCTTTTTTTTTCACGCCGCACAGTGAATTCGCCGACACCTATCGCAGATCCATGGACGCGACCTGGTACAAACGGGCCGTCGACCAGCACGCCGTCGAGCCCGAGAGTTTCGTCTTCAGCGTGCCCTTCGACGCTGGTAAGCATTCGATGAAAAACGAATAAAAGTAAATTGCAAATGTTTCATTCGTTGCGTTTCGCTGCACAGCCGAGAATCCGAGGCCTCTGGTGACGGCCACCCACGCGATCTTCGTCGACGTCAAGGGCCACAAAGCACCGGCCGCTGTGGTTGGCATACAGTTTCAGCACGCGTCCTTGGCGTCGCACTTCGTCAACGTCACGTCAGCTGTGAGTTACATCCTTTGCCCTCCCCTTCCCCTCCCTCAGCACGACATACTTGCATACATATTTATGCGTCGTGTATACAAACGTGCGCACCGTTGACAAAAAAAAACCTTGTAATTAATCCATTCGAAATTGGAGTACCGATACTGAATTTAATTCAAGTTACTTTCGCGTGAAATTATCGTTGAAAATGGATGTATCGGTGCTGATTTATTCGTTTACTTAAAATTGGAAAAATAGACAAGAATGACTAATTTAATACTTGAATTACAGTATTTTTTGATTGTAAATCGTTGTCTAAATAATGATTTATTTACTATATTGATTGCTCAAAAGAGTATCAAAATTAAATCCAGCCTCTACCGCTAGATGGCGAACGTACCTTTATTTGTAAATCTGCATGCGACAAAGTCAAAATAATTGTATAAGTCGCTGCAGTGAATCCATAAATTTGGCTAAAGTCATGTGGTCATATTTAGAGCACATGCAAATTAATCTTATTTGAAAGATTTAGTTCTTCCATACGAAGAAAAAAAAACTCCTCCGCATTTTTGCATCAATTTCCGTGTGAGCATATTTTCAACGGTGTGCGCAACCTCCCCATAAATAACCCAAACTTCAACCTCAATCGCATCGCACATCGACATCCACTGTTTTTTTTTCCTTGTTCCAGTGCTTCGGCAACAGCGGCTGCAAGAAGAACTGCGCCTCGGACGAGCTCGACTGCTACATCCTCGACAACAACGGCTTCATCATCATCAGCGAGAAGCACGAGCACACGGGCAAGTTCTTCGGCGAGATCGACGGCACGATCATGGACTCGCTCGTCCAGGACAAGATCTTTCGCAAGGTGGGCGTGACGGATTATCAGGGCATCTGCTCGCCCCAGTCGGCCCACATCTCGGCGGCCGGGGCGTCGCCGCCGCGAGGCGACTGCTACTCGTCGGCGATCTCGTCGATCTGGGGCTCGGTCACGCGACTCGCCTGGGCTTGGCTCGTCAGGCTCCAGCTGGCCGAGCTCTGGCAGCCGATCTGGGCCACCCAAGCCGCTCGCTCTTACGCGTCCGATTCCAATAACAACGACGACGACGCCGGTGGCGGCGTGATATATCCGGACCCGGAGTATCCGCCCGAGGTGACGGACGAGGTGGTGATCGAGAACGACAACGGCAATGGCAACGGCAATAATAATGGCAACGGAGCCTCGTATCCGTCGGTGGTGCAGGAGTCCTCGACGCCGCCCACGCACTCGACGACAACGAACTTTCCCCCGCACAAGCTGCGATTCTGCGAGAAGCACACCGATCTCTACGTGCTGCAGCCCGACCGGCTCAACGCCAGCGGCCAGGGCAATCCGCTCAAGGGCAAGCTCACCAATTGCCACATGTCCGGCTGCGAGAGGTGAGTTCGCTCGACGTTACACGCGCTCGCCACAAGAGTGTAAAAATTTACTGTAATAAGTCGAAATGGTCTAATTAAGTAACATTCTATACGTTCATAAAAGCTTAAAGTAAATATTTTATTCTTTTAAAAACACAAATAATAAATTAAAAAATATAAATCGAACATTTCGTAATTTTATACTGAAAAAAATCTTAAAGGCAATTCCAACAAAAGTGGACAGCTGAATCGAAAGAAGATTATTTTGCTGGCCAATAACTTTGCTGATCCATCTACTGATGATAATCAGTGTAATAGTAAAAATGTAACATTTTATACTTTTGTAAAAGTATAAATTAGACGATTTCGACTTTTTACAGTAAATTTTTATGCTTTTGAACCCTTCCTATAACGATATACGTGCATAACTTTTGTTTTCCTTCGCTTCTCGCAGGCCGTTCAGCGTGCAGAAGATCAGCTACACGAATCTCATACTCCTCGTGATAGACACCCTCTGCCCGTGCGGCAACAAGAAGCTCAGCATCAGGCCGTACGAGGCGATGATCGAGCCCGGCGCCTGCACGGCCCGGCGCGAGCGTCTCTATCGGCGCCGGCCCGGCAAGTGCATCAATTACCATCCGGAGGAGCTCGAGATCAAGGTGTGCGGCTCGGCGCCGAGAGCAGCGGCCGGCCTCGCGTCGTCCCTGCTGCTGCTGCTGCTTACCGTAGTTCTGACGGCCTCCTCCTCCTCGACGTGACTCGACGGCCGTTTTTAAAGCGGAGAAAAGCGTCGCCCCGTCGTGCGGTGCGTGAGTCATAAGTAATAGTCGCTAATAATTATACATAAAGAAAAGAAAAAAATACATACACTTTATATTTACGATATTATGCGCTGGTATCGAAGGTACGCCGCCTGTATATATACAAATCATTTTAACGTTCTTTTTTGTATATGGATGAAAAATACGCAGCTGGAATTTAATTATTGATAAAAAAAAGGAAGAAGAAAGAATGAAGGACTGAGCAAGTGCCGTGAATCATGTAGTGGTTTTTTTTTTACATAAAGTAAGGCAGAATGTGCTCTTGAGAGAGAGAGAGAGAGAAGATGAGCGAGGGAAGCAAAGAGAAGAATGATAATTGTTTAGAGGAAAATCATTAGGACAATTTTATACCTACGCTGTCGCGAGCAGCCATGTCGTAGACTATCTAGAATTATACTACGTATAAAAGTAATAGCTTGGAAGCTCATATTTGATCTTCGAATGTATAATAATAATGAAAAAAAAATGATCATAAATAAGCGATATTCCAGCTGCGTAGTTGGGAGAGGAGAGGAGGCAAAAAATAGCTGTAAGGCACTTACGCAAATTGATCGGCCTCGTGCGTACATCATTGTTATTATACAACGTTACTCGAGGGTGCAAGAGTAATTTCTCCCTTTTTTTTTTGTTTCAATTTTGAAAATTATAATAATTATAAAAAATAAAACAATTGCGAAGCAATAGAATCATGAACGAAGAAACAAAATAACCCCACGTGGTTTAAAAAAAATAAAATAAAATATTACTATATATGATAAACACAAGAAGCACAAGAAAAAAAAGTAACACACGAAAAAGATACCTATTTTTTGCAAAGTCTTTCTTTTGGAAGAAAAATTGAACGCGTGCGGGCTATGTGTGTGTATGTGTGAAGCATGATGTATGTAAACAAAAATAATATTAATATTAATAATTATAATAAAAATAATAAACCTATGTAATAATTAAATGTGTGCAAAGAGAAAAAATGTCGCGAGTGCGATTCGAGAGGCTCACGAAAAAAAATGAGAGAGAAATACAATTTATCATCTCATTTTTTGAAATCGTGGTCTAGATATTTCGCGATGTAGCGAGATAATGACGATCGAGCGGAAAAGGATCGTCGAGGAAGAAACGAAGCTTCAAATGGCACTATTTGGCGCTGGCAGCCAAAAGCAAAAAAAACAGGAAAAAATAACGACAAACAAACAAAAGAGCTTGTTCATTTTAAGGGCAGATATCCGATCGCGCGAGCTACGCAAGCGATAATGATAATTATCGTTATGAAAACGAATAAAAAAAAAAATTATCAAATATTTCAACATCTATAATAATAAATTGTAATGCCTATTTATAACGTAAGTTTTTGAATGTAATTCAGCAACTTTCAACGCGAAAAAATAATTGTTCGCAGCTATTTAAAAACTCGATTGAGTGTCTATATATTATAAACCTTATACAACCGGATTTTAAAAAAATCGCGCAGACGTGAGACGCCGTCCACAATTAATAAAAAAAAAAGAAGAATGAATTTTAATTGTAACAATGAGCACAAAAATAAACGCGCGACTTTGTAGCGCGGATTTTTTCTTAAAAATATCATCCGAATAAAAAAATCATTCCGAGCTCATCGATGCACCTATTATAATCTAATAGTGATTAGTCGAGTGTTTGTGTTGCCGTAAACAACAGCACAAAAATTCATTGATATAAACTCCACCGTAACAATTAATTTTTAATTATACCTAAGAAAAATCAATTTAGTTCCTCTTCTTTGTGTAACAAACCTAAAAAAAAGAAAGAAAATTAAAAATCCCATCCATAAACGTGAATATCGAATTTCTACAATAACTTGCTATATAAATATTACTTAAAAACTAATTGAAGTTCACTATTTTTAATGTCAGTAAGTTACGTGGTGTTAAATGAGGAAAAAACAAACATAATAATGAAAGCGTGTTAACAACACAAACTGTACAACTCACTATTCGTTAATAAAAAAAATAACACAGGTGCCTTCGAGTTAAATTCAACATGAAGAAATATCTAACGTCTGCGGTTAAAAAATACATTTTTTTCTCCAACTCTCATCGACTTGCATAAAAAAATTGACTAAGCTGAGAATGATAATTAAGACTAAAAAGCTTGCGAACTCTTGAAAATTTCATGGATCATCGTTAAAAGAAAAACGAAAGACGTTTATGAAATTAGATAAAGAGCAAAAAAACATTCACGAAACAGCCCTGGAATTATTGACGAAAGTCTGGGAAACTTTTCAAGAACACAAATGCGATAAATATTTTCGTTCGTGTTTTGCGCTAAAAAAATTGTTGGTATACTCGACACACATATACATTTTAGCCTAACGCGTAAATAACGTAATCTTTTGACTGTGCGATTTTGATTGATGTAACCTTTTGAACGAGCATACAATAATTTTGTGGTACAAGAGATTCTCTTTTAACGTAAGTAGGTAGCATACAAATTTTTTAGCTCAATGAACTCTAATGAATAATCAAGTACAACGTGTTTTGTTTTCGACAAATAACTGTGTTGACAATACCAATTATACTTTTTGGAGTGATTAGTAGTTGAAAAAAATTTTTGACCTTGTCTAGAACGACGAGATTATAAAATAGTTTATACCTCCGATATAAACTACTTTTAACATTTAACTGAATATAAATCTGATCTTTGTATAGATATAATAGTAAATTTATTATATGAAAAGTTACTAGACTTTTTCCTGTTCTTGATTTTGAAATTTTAGAGAAAATTTTTTAATCTTCGAATAAAGTTCTTCGATAAAAATTATTACATTTCGAATAATTGTTGCTCGCGATTTTCAAGGTGAAAGTTTCCTCTTGCGTTAAATTTACCTGATTGAAAAATCTCGAGAGGGGGTACAAAAGTTTTGCATATATTGTACGCACTTTTAGGCAACCATATAATCTGATGTTTGGTTTAAAGTTTTCGAAACTACATGTGATACGATATTATTGTTGACTTCGTGGAAGCAATTCGAAGTTTTCAGATATAGTAGAGCTAAATCTTTAATTTTCGTTTACTGTTATCATAAAATTGAGTATAGATAATTGTAGAAGTATGAAATAATATTTATAAATGAAAATATAAATACATTGTGTAAAATGAGTATACGTAGATAATATAATGTAATAAACTGGGGTCTAATATGTATGAGCGAAAAAATTGATATATTTACCGTATAATAGCATATTAGAAGTTGTTTTCGTTTTGTATATCTACTTGAGTTGACTAATTTTAAGTAGAATCTAATTTTCGCTTCTGAAGAACGAAAAATTTTAAATTATTAGATGATATATCTAGAGTGATTCATTTCGAAATTATGTATATTATAGAAGGTTGCCTAAAAGTTTGAACAAAATATAAAACTATTTACTCCCCTCGGAAAAAAAGAAAAAAATGAGGAAAAAATTGATTGCGAAACCCTTTAGACAATACAGCATATTAGTAGAATTTGTATAATAATATTCCAAGATGTGGTCGTCGCACACGAGACTTTTCTAGTTGCATCGCGCATTGAAAAGAAATACTTTGGCATATGAAAAGGTATATATTATATACATAATTATATATTATATAGATGATAAAGTTAAACTGTTGTTATTATTCATTAAAATATCGCGTTTTATTATTATATTGTACCAAGTTTTTTCATAAAAAAAATTAAACATCTTTTAAAAATATGTATTTACAATGAAAAAAAACGAAAAAAAAAGAGACGATCAAAATACTCCTAAATAAGAATAACGTCGGCTAATTTGAGACTTACTCGCATCACCTTTAAGAAAATAAAACGTAAACTATCAAAAACTCGGTTAATAAATGCGCTAGATTTAAACCGTCGTTTTTACGTATAGTTTATACTGTGTAGATCGTGACGACTTCTAAATATCATTTCTCGAATTTAATAAAAAAAATAAAAATAAATTTCTAAAGCATACGTGGCATTTTCATAATCAGATTAGATATTCTCGCGTCATTGAAAAAAATCATCGTGCAAATAAAATATATATTTTATAAAAGCTTTGGTAAGTAATCGAAAAAAAAAGCTTGAGAACATTTTATTCTCTATATGTTTCAAATGTGACGGAATTCCATAATTTTTTTAAGATAACGAAAAAATGAATAAAATAAATATGCTAACTTTTACCTATCGTGTTTTTTCTGACGAATATTTAGAAGTGTAAGGTAAAAAATTTACCAAACTACAACATTGTTTCGCGACTAAGAGCATTTGGTAATGTTTGACTGTTAAATGTTGGCTTCCAAACTGTAACACTGCAAACATACAAAAAAAAGACAAAGATATCTACACTGGACTCGAAAATCATTTTGAAACATTTGCAATTGTATGCCCGAAAAATTGACAGCATTGTACACGTAACAAATTTAAACCATACCGTTAATCTATAAGATGCAAAACAAAGACTTTTGAAAAAAAAAACCAATTTTTGGCATTAAAAATAACTATTGCGCTACGCAGCTTTGATCTTTTTCAAACAAGTTACCTTTTTTGTATATTATATATGAATCAATGCGAAAATGAAAAAATATTCAAACGTCTAGCAAAAAAAGCCTAATGTTAAGGTCTACAAAGGAGGAAAAAGTACGAGATTGAATGTAAAGAGACGAAGATTGAAATGGCATTGATGGATAAAAAAAAAATGAGAAAAGCCAAGTGCAGGCGCGTCATTGTATATCGCGGTGGTAGAGTTACGAGTTAATCAAAACGTCGCAAGCGTTGCGTAAAAGCAAAGGAAGATCTCTACCCTGGAGTTTATGAGCGCGAATATATTGTATAAGATTTATTATAACGAGAAAGCGTCGTGAGGTTCGAACAAAAATATTATACGAATACATGAATAGATAGCATGACGCGGAGGTTGACGATAATAATAATAAAAAATAAAAAAACAGAATCACTAGTTCGGGATGGAGAAAATTAAATGCAACAGGCGCATAAATATATGGACATGTTGTTGAAAGGCAGAGAGAAAAAAATATTATATAACTAGCGGTGACGAAGCGAGGGTTAAATAATAATAATAATAATAAAAAGAAAAAAGAAGAGGGAAATATAATGTAGTAAAACGAGAACGTGAATGGGATGTGCGTGGGGCAAAATCCTTTTCAAAGTGTCATTGATTACACTTACTAAGTCTTCCATTATTCGTACGTTAATGTTTAAAAAAGATATGAATGTGCGTATGCATATATTTATACATACATATATCGGCACATTATATATGTATATATAAAAAAAAAAAATTTTAAAATGAATTGAAGAGTAATTTGCGACGTGTAAAAACAATACAGATGAAAACTATATGCGGGGGATCCATCGTATCGATTAACTATTATAAAACGAAAAACAAACTATTACCTGCAAACGTAAGGTGAAATATTTATTGATAATAACGATATTTATATGTATGATAATGTATTCACGTGCAGCTACAAGCGACGATGTGTTAAATGAATCGCGAATTTTGAAAGAAAAATGGAAACAAAATGAAAATAATGAAAAAAAAACGATCAAAAAGTTGAGGCGAGATTCTCCGAGCGACTATACTCGATCTTTTTCCATGTATTATTGTTCTATACGTAAATTCTAGTAGACGTATTGTTCCCATGGTGACATGAAAAAAAATCAAACAATAATTATTGTTGTTGTTGTTGAATTCGACATTTTTAAAAAGGTTTATCTCAAAATGTTTCTTAAATAATAATTCACGATATTAAACGGAAAACGATTGTAACTTTTGAACGCTTTTTGATTCTAATTGTATTTTAACTAGATGTTAAGACAGAAAAAATTTTTAGATGGATTTTCATTAAAAAAACATTATCGATTTAAACTCCAGTGAATAATAACAATGATTGTTGTTGATAAAATCAATATACTGTTCGTATACCGCGTAATCGAAGATAAAAGTATTAAAAATATTCTCCGTATGATCTCAATTAATTATGGTCAATTTTCAAAACTATTGCAATTATTAAATAAATAACTTGAAGCTACAAGAGTGATGTAAAAACGTTGTCAATCTAAACCAATTCACACGATTTTTCGTTTTTATACAAATGCATTAAAAATAACCCAAACAAAGTTTACCCATCAAAGATTCCATAAAAATTCAAATCAATCAAAATTGAAAAATGCAGCAGATGTAAAGCATTCTTATTATTTCGAGAAAAGAAGATAGTAAATTCAATTCTCGAGAAACTCGCCTGATACTTAAGGGAAAAAAATTCACTGATTTTATGAAATTCAAAGATATTTTCCGGCTACGTGTAAACGTTTTGCAAAAAAAGCCATTTCATACAACAGAAGAATAAAAATGTTTTCATTCGGCTTTGAGTTTGAAATATAAAAATATTAATGCAAACTCACGTATTTCTCATCGCAAAAATGAACAATTTTAAATTCGCGTGTTGGCTCTTTTCTTTGCGGTAGACAAGCAGAGTAAACCTTCGGCAAATATTCGTGGATATATTAAAAAACTTTTATTCGAAACAAGTGTCAAAGTTTCATCGAACATCAAAGTTTTTCTCAACTTTTACGGATAAACCAAAATAAAAAAAAACACCCTTGGTTTATCATGTATGCTGAGTTAATCTAAAATCAAAGAAAAAAAACCATATCACTTTTTATACTTCGTGCCCTTGGATACGTATTTAAAGATATTTTACCTTTAACTTATTTAAATAATAATGAAATGACTGAAATATTGCCGGTGGAATTTTACAATATTTGTAATAAAACTTCAAGCCGAAGGTAAACTCGTGTTTTAAAATCAAGCACTTAATTTGAACGCAATAGATTGAAATCATCAAAAAATGTCATCGTGAAAGAAAAAGAGAGAGAATGAAGTATCGAGTGAATGCTGAATGTATGAAAAAGTTAACTTGATTTTCAATTGGTTTTTTTCTATCTGTGAACGATCATTTCTTACTGCATTCGTTTCTATGATCGTCGCTCTTATTGATACGAAACTAAACGATAATAATAACCAAATGACATATTCCTCGATCTACAATATACAATTTTTCGATTTTTCAATTAATTGAATTATTCAGCGTCGCGCAAAAGACTGCAAAAGATATTATAATTATCGACGAACACGATAAATCATAAAAGACAGATATATTGTGTAAATTGAAATAATCTTAGAGCGTGACTATTATAGGTTTCTCAATTTGTACATATTAACAAAGGTAATGGCGATGATTTAAGAAAAATATAGTAACGATATGAGAACTTATTATAATTATGCAAAAATATTCAAGTGATCATATACGGACACGGTGTAACGAACAAAAAAAAATACATAATGTAGTCTAACAAATGTTTTATTGTAAAATTTTTGTTAGTTTACTCGTGATTACGAAGATTAGGCAGTGTAATAAAGCAAAATTACTGTACCAGAAACGAAAAATAATAAACACAATCTTGATAATACTGTTCAATAAAATAAAATAAAAACGACATCGGGGAGCAAAAATAATTTGATATTTGAAAAATTTAAAATAGTACCTTCAATGCTGGATAACGAATGAAAAACGATAATACATAGAGGGCCTGATGAGTTTAGTGTTTTGAATGAATGCAAAATGAGAAACATCTTAAAAATCATACTCACTCGCGCCTGCTGAAAAAATTAATTAATCAAAACGTACGACACGTTGTGTTATTGTACACAAAATTACTGTAATTTACTCATCAATCGTAAGGCTTCAAATAGCTTTAATGAAAAACAAACTTAAGCGGGATCGTGAATTCCTATAAGTATACATTTAAAAGTGTAAAAAAATATTGAGATCTATTGTATAGCAATAAAATAATGTATTACAAGTGTCACTTAAAATGGTATTCATTCATTTTGTCGTTCACTAAAATTACCTATCCAAAAAAATTCGTTTTGAACAAGCTGTTATTTATAAAAATGTATTCTTTATTACAAGTTATTCAAAATACAATATTGAAGATAGTACGTTTCGAGCCCTATCTAGAGTAGTCATGATGGTGACGTTTTTATAAACTAGTCGTTCACCAATTCAATATAGAAAAAAAAACATTGATAAAAAGTTGTACACGATACAAAAGTGAAGTATCTTCAAATTAAAATAATTAAAAAAATTGTTAACTAATTTCCTATGCTGACTAAAAATGTCTGTACATTTTTTGTTATCAAAAATACATACTCGTTAAAAATGCTTTTATCTTAGTTATGTCCAACAACAATCAATTCGATTTAAATCGAATCTAAAAATTAGTCAACTAACTTGATTGGCAAGCCTCTAACTATGATAGCAGCAGAAGTCATGTACTGTCTACAAATATCTTTTGATTTTGAAACTGCTACTAACATATCGTTTTCATGTTTTATTTCGTTACGCTGATCTTTTTTGAATTCTAAAACAGAAAGATGAATATTCAATGCAAGGTAAGCAAAACATTAAATTATATTGAATATATAATTTTACCAATTACTCCTTTGCTCCATGCTGATAGATTGACATCAGACCAAGATCTTTTAGCAGCAGAGGTAATCCAACTGCTAATGAACTCAGCAGTCATTTTATCAATATCAGCATCTGTTACTTCCCACAACATTCCCAGTATACAAGGACTACAGCCCATTAGGTATTGATTTGAAATTCCATAGGCAGGTAATCTACCGCCAACAGGTAGAAGTTTGATACTGCCACATCCAAATAATAATACTGATGCTAGGACTCTCATTCTTTCTATTTCTTCACCTCTTAAAAATTGAATACCACTGCCATGCCCATTATACCTAAATTTATAAAAATAAATATAAAGATTTAGTACAAATTACATGTACTGTTGTTATCATTATAAATTTAGTATAAACTTACATCAGGACATTATAATTTGTTAAGGCGTTTTTGAAAAAGTTCAAATCTGGTTTTATACCATACAGTCCTTCCCATTTTGGTAACCAATAGTCAATGAATAACTTCATTCTTATTTCCATTTTTTTCAAATCTAAGGAGGGATTCACAACAAATGTTCCCAAGTTTTTGGACACTTTGATAATTTTGTAACCATCTACTATAGTACTTTTATGCTGTTTATATAACGCATATGCAAGATGAAGTGATGGAAATCTTGTAACTGGCTGATGTTTCAACAATTTCAGCGATTCAAAAGATATGTGATCTAAACACTATTGAAATTAAAGTTAAAAAACATCTTACATAAATAAATACGTATAAGAGCACTTACTTCATCTAAGATTAAAACTAGTGGCTTTCTTTTAGCTGTTTTCAAAATTTCCATTACTTTTGTTTTAGCAACAATTGATAAAATAACATTTTTTGCAAATTTAGTTTGAGTTGGTAAAACATATTTGACTGCTTTTTCTATTTCATAATTCTCTAAATAACACGCTCCAGTAGCAATTTTCTTCAAAAGCCATCTAGTTCTTCCAGAAATTTCTTTACTGAAAATATAAAACATATTCATCACTTGGTCATTTAAAAGTTATTTAAATTATAGTTTATGATTATTACATACATAGACGAATCTGCTATAAGCTTATCAATCATGTTATGTATATCTTTGACTAAATCCAAATGTTCTATATAGTCTGCCTGAAATAAAATTCTCCATTCTCTCAGCCAAGAATTTTCTACCTCTGAAATGGCACTCTAAAAAAATTTTAAAATCATTAGAATACAATTGGAAAGTTTTTATGAGTAAAAAGTAAAATTGAATTACAATCATTTGTTCATTCTGTTTTTTACGCATTTTCCAGTATTGTTCATTGTTGTTATATGCTGCTGTCAAGTCTGATTTGTTATTATTTAACAATGACTCTATTTCTTTCCGTATGTCGTATGATGAAACAGGTTTCGGTTTAGGCAGCGTTATACAAATAGGATGGGTAGCATTCTGGCCCGTTGGAAGGACTACAAGATGAATACCATGCATTGGCTTTAAATCATACATAAATTCAGCAGGCTGTATTCTGTGCTTTATTTCTGTTAAGTGCTCATGTTCAGCTGTTATTTGTAGTACATACCATTCTAAAATTATAATTCATTAGAAATTATTCACAATGTAGAAATGTTCAATTTTGTTTGATTTGAATTTCAACCTGCAGGAAGCTGTCGAAGAGTGGGCAGTATTGTTTTAGGATTTGTATTTGCATTGAGATGATTGATGTCCAAATCTTTTGGATCTAAATTAAAAACTCTTGACTCTTGCAGAATGTTAAGCCTCAATTCGGATTTGATATTTCTGTACAATATTTGTTGACGTAAACATGACGCATGCGATGCTATGAGATGACAGCACGCTTCCAATTCTTTGCCACTCTGCAAGCGTTACAACAATTAATTTAAAAGCTACCCTAGCAACAAAAGGATCACAGCTGCAATGCACAAAATGTCACTGGCACTGCTTGCGCACACGAGTTGAGAAAAAGAGTTCTTACCGCCAAACAAGTGGTGGCCAGCATTTTGCATATGGATGAGTTCTCGACAACAGCCAGATTCTGCTCCTGGCTGGAGAAGTACTGCCTCATTTGCGTCTCGAGCTTCTTGGCTGTCATGCTCGCTCTCGTTCTCTTTCTGCTCTTCTCCCAAGAGTGCCTCTTGTCGGCACCGATGAAGTTGTTGAGCATCTCATCCAAGCGCTGGGGCGAGGAGAACTCCTGGCGCTGCTGCTCCTTGCCGATGACATTGTCCTTGGTCGGGAGTATAAACTCACTCTTGAAATCGTGAATCGTATTACGATGCTGGCATGGCAGCTCGCGCAGCACACAGATGCCATCAGCCGGCGACGAAGACATATCCTTCGGGCAGTGTAGCTGTTGTTGTTGCTGCTGCTGCTGCATTTAGTGTTGTTGTTGTCGTCGGCCCCGCAATTTCGAATTCACTGGCCCTCGTCGCGTTGAAAACGATGCTTTCTCCGATTGGTCGGCTGCTATTGCTGCTGCTGCTGCTGCTGCTGTCGCTGCTGCCGCTGCTGTTGTTGTTGTTGTTGTTCTGCAGCTGTCGTGCCCCCGATGGCTCCACGGATCTTGTCGTCGTCGTCGTCGCGTTCTATGTGTTTTGTAAATCAATAATAAAATAAGCACTGATAAGCATGACGCACTGACACGCGCTTAAAAACTCGTTGTTGACAAACACTGCACATGCTTGACCATTTGGCGGTTGCCGTCGAACTTTTTTGAAATTGAAATGAACGGCAACAGCCAACAGCCGTACGAGTGCGCGTCGGCAGCAGCCGCGCCATCGATCGCTGCGCGCGCCGCAGGCCGCAGCACGACGACTAGATATATTGCCTCCGTCAACGAGCGACATCTCGCAGCCCCCCGAAAGAGGCAGATGGGTGGCGCGCGTATATTTAACATTATATATAGTGTAGGCGCTGAGGGGGGTTCGAATGCATCGGAAGGTCTATGTTTCTACGTATTTGGACACGCTGAATCCGAATTTTCAACTCTCACCTCGTACAGATGGTCGAGTAATTCGTTACAAACAAATTAATTGTTTATACGGCTATAACTCCTAAACTATTGAATTTTTACGAAAACAATTTTTTTTAATTTAATTGTACGCAAAAAGACAAAAATTTCTTTTTTTTATTCGTCTTGATACGACCACGGGGATGTTGTTATAATTCCTTTGAGTTTATCGACAATATCACAGACAGAAAAGCCGAAATTTCAATATTTTTTTATTTACAAACTAAAGACTTTAATTAAAAACCGCTTCGGTATTTCGATACACAAGGATTTCTGCTTTCTCCAGACATTTTTTGTTTATTTTTTTACTGCACGTTAAACTAATTACAAGTACTTTTACCAATCAACTTTAACATGTAAAGTATACGGGCGGTTGCTTTGTTTTGCCTCCAGGCACATCAGCTGGTCGATTTTTGACCGTCACTGACGACTGTGAAAAAGCCCTATACTGCTGCAAAACGATTTTTCTTTACACCATCAACTGAACAGTATAACAATTACGACGTTTCCATTTTTTTTTCTCAAAATCTCTGTGAATTTAAACATCTTGGAAGGTAATCTTCAAGTTCTCAATTGTAAAAATGAAAATTGTAATTGTTTATTATAATTTATGTAATTGATGAAAATGTAATTGTTTATTATAATTTTATAAAAAAGTGACCGAAGCACGTTCATAGCTGTCCGGATACTTGAACAATTATATTCATGAAATTATTTATTCAATATGATCGATGACTACAAATTGGTTTTCATAAAATAAATTCTTTTCAAAATATAAATCTCATCTCAGACAAACAATTCAAAACATACAGCCTCAATGGCTGGAGAATGGAGAAAAATCTATACTTTATCTCAATTTTATGCAGTGAAAAGATATTAGTCATATATGATTCAGTTCAAAATTTATAAACCAGTGCAATTTTTATGAAAAAATAAAGTTTCAATGAATTTTAAAAATTCAAGTAATTATTTCAAGTTTTACTGTTTGACGATATGTAATGTTTTATAATAAAAATTAAAAACAATTACTTGAGTAGGACCAAATTGCAATGTGATTATAGTATGTCCGCGCTAAAGCGCGCAATTTTGAAATGAAAATTAAAAATATTTAGCAACACAATTTACTATATGTAGCTCATATCAAATTAAAGGTCTTCGATTCGAGATTATGTAATTTACAACATTTTTCATGAAGCTAATTAATTTTTGTTTGAAACTAATGAGTTTATAGTAAAAGTAGATCAAAGAACATCCTCTAATTTTTTCTAATTTTCGGAGATAATTTTATATTATTCGAAAAACTTGGAAAATCTAATTTACCAAATTCTTTATAAAAAGTTTCGTAAAAGCTTGAGGGTGTTCATAAATAAAATTTGAGAAGATTTAGTTTTATTAATTTTTGCTCCGAATTCAATGGCCTTTCTGATCCCTTTGTGGTTAAAAACAAAAAAAAAAAACAATAAACAATAAAATTTACATGATACATCTCTAATACATCAACAATTTTATTTCATGTGTTTACAAGTAAATACAAACTTGAGCGATAAAGGAAATAATAATTGAGCCTTTAAGCGATTGTAAAAAAATAAGCAAACGAAAATTTCTACATTTTTCAAACAAAAATTATTAATATACAAATAATATAGATACATCTTAAGGGGACATTCACATTGAAAATGGGAAAAAAAATCTGTAAAAAATTTAAAAAAATCATTCATAATTTTTTTACGGGGGTGAACTCATTCCGAAAATATCGTTTTTTCACAATATTTCAGAAAAAATCGTGCCGAAATTGTAAAAAAAGAAAATATCAACTTTTTAGAGGTTTGTCGTCTAGAATTATACCTCACGAATAGAGCCTGGTTTGAAAAATTTCATTATATTTTGCAAAAGTTGCTAAAGACTGGGCACCAGTCATAACAAAGATTTCATCAAATTTCATCCGTGCCAAAAAGTGTTACTTATGGCACTTTTATCGAAAATTACTATATTACAACACTGGTATTTGCATATAACTAAACAATTGCAAGCTAATGAATGACCAATCACAACGCTCATAAACTGCTTACGCTAAAAACCTCATCATTCTTATAGGGTAGGATAATATATTTCATCTCTATGATTCAATAATGATAGTGAATAATTTTCTGCCGTAATTAATTATAAAAAAATAAACTGAAACAGCTATTTATTTGGCCTTTAATAGGTACAAACATAATTAGCAATCGGTATCAGTTCATTTTTTTATGGTCCATATTTGTTACTATCGGCATTGACGTAATTTTACAATTATATTATTAATTTTGAGATTTTCAACATTTTTAAATATTATTTGCGATCAATCGAGTCACATTCCATGGGATGATAAAACGGTTGCCTAAAAAAATGTAATCATAATCGTGAATAATTAAACACATTTTAATTTTTTTGAATGCAAAATAGCTGGTTATTTGTACTTTTACCTTCCGCACCTACGTAAATAGTGAAATTTTTTATTTTGCCGCACTTATAATTAATCTTATCCACGAAATATAAGTTAAAAATTGCCTCTTGTGCGAATACAGAACGATCTAAGCATGTTTTAATGTAAATAATGTCAACAAACAATGTGCTCTGTTAATTCTGTTTCATGTACTTTCAAAACTTTTGAACATCTTTCACGTTCGAGTTCTGAAAACGAATCACTCACGAGTTCTGCTGAGCTATTATCGTGATCAGCACTGAGCGCAATTCAGCCTCGAGACCGAGCGTGAATCACGCTCGAGCCTCGTCGAGCTAATTTCGCCATTATCACTGAGTACGATTCACACTTATCTTGGTGTGACTCTCACAATATCCAGCCAAAATTCAGTACTCAGTCTTTTTTAAAAAGAATTAAATGGTACAGTCGAGTAAATTACTATTTAATAAGTGTCACTTTTATTTTACAAAGTTTTTTTGAGATAAATCAATGAAAATTCAATACACGGGTTACTCATACTTGCGTCTGCACATAAAAGGACTCTTAAAACCCATCAAATTTGGCTGAGGGCCTACGAGGATTTGAAAAAGTACATATATTTAAGACAATATTTGTTCCTAAATTTGGTTAAAATATTGATTTTTTAGCATTTAATAAAAGCACTATTGCTTTTAAAAAAAAAAATTGAATGAGATATTAATGTGGGACATGAAAAGTATAGGAAAAAAACAGAAATCAAAGAAAATTTTATATACTGATATATTTATTCAATAAACAACATGAAAAATGTACAAAAATCAACAACAGCAGTCATTTAAAACCACCAGCTTCATCCTATTCCCAAAATGGCTTAATTGCTCTCGGTGTCAAGGCATCTCTCACGAGGTCCTCCAGCTCCGGGAACTCGTCCCGCACTCGCCGGTAGAATCTCTTCACCACCTCCTCGCACAGATGCCTGTCGCAGGCCTCGAACAACGGCCCCGTCGGAAGTCGCCACAATTTTTCCGACTCGGCCAGATTGAAGTACGTGTGTAGCATCGCGGCGTTGGCGGACAATCTGTGGACCAATGCGTTCCGCTTGAACAAAGTCGCGATCGTCCTGGCATCGTTGACCTTTAAGGAGGTTCGATAGCACTTTCAAGGGGCAGGCGGGGCGAGGGGGTCGCATATGCTTATACACGGGCACGAAGGAGTGATACCAACTCACGGGAACAAAATATTATTAGCAAAACAGCATGCCGCGGCCGCACGGCACTTATAGGCGAAATTACTTAACTTCTATCTCGCTGAAAAACCCCCTAAACGCACTTAAAAAAAATATGTGACATATGATTTCGATTGGAAATTTCCTCAGCTTTCCGATGGTGAAGTCAGATTTTCAAAAATTTTCCATTTTCCACGGAAAATTGTAAAAATAAACTTTTAACATTAAATATCTCAAAAAACGCATTTTTAAGATTTTTCAAAGTAGTCTGAATCGAAAGCTGAGGAAATTTCCCATCGAAATACATATTTTCCAGGGAGTAAATTTTATTTTTACTAGCTGAAATACAGCGATGAACGTGTAAAAACGCGACATTTCGGCTCGCGTGTCTCAGAATCTCACGTTTTTAGACTTGTTTATTGAGCATTCGGTGTTGTAAAACGAGTTGCTTTTTTTTCAAAATGATCAATATCTTCTTGGCCTTCTAAAAAATAGTTTTTTTTTTTCATTTCCTAAGTCTAATTCGTTTGTATAATGCTTTTTTTGTGACATTGTTGTAACTTTCCCCATATGACCCATGTATAAGACGTCGTTTTTGATTTTTTTTTTTCGAAAACTAGATTGTAGATCAATCTAAGATTTTAACAGTGCATTCATTTCTTATCAAAGATTGAAATAAAAAAGTTTCAGGCATTTCTAAAGACATGAAGTTTACTATCGAACCTCCTTAAAGAACCCGAGAATATGTGTCAGGAGTCCAAATTTTGCTCTGGCTATTCCCCCGGGCGTATCTTAGGCCATTTTTCACGAACTTTTCTTTATTTTACTCTTTTCTTTAATTAGCTGCCAGCACGTCATTTTTTGACTAAATTGGATTCGGGAGCCACGAAACTCTTCGTTTTAAGTGTATTTTTTGAGAGGTTCATGCGGCGAGTGCCCAAGATGATCTCAAAAAATTTTGCACGAGATAGCAATTGGCCATTTATATTTGCAATATATCGGCGACGTCTCGCCGAGTCAATCGCCGATATATTGCAACTATAGAGGCGTATGGACACCCGCGCATATATCGCGAATTCATTGCCCATATATTGCTAATAAAATTTTAAAATTT